GCTCCGGCCGTCTGTGCCGCCAGACCTCACCTGCCCGGCCCTGCCCGTGTCCCAGGGGCGCCCTCGTGGGCATCAGCAGCTGGCATGAGGGCCCCCGGCACAGCCCGGCCGCCGGGACCCCGGGCCTCCCACCGGCTGTCAAGACTCGGGCCGCCCTGGGCGCCCCGGAGGGGCCTTAGAGCCCGAGAGCTGGCGGGCAGCCGGCAGGGTGCTGGGCGGGCCGAGGGCAGCTTTGGAAGTCGCCTGCGAGTCCGTGACCTGGGCTTGACCCTCATCTTAACGTTGCTTTCAAGTAAGGCTGACCAGAGCCAGGCAGCACGGCCAGCGAGGGGCAAAGCGGGCCCAGGCCGGCCGGGCTCCGTCTCTGTCCTACCCGAGTGACCTGCGGTGACGGTCACTCTGACCCAAGCCGTCGCCGCCCGCTGGTCCCGGGGAGGGCGCAGCCAGGCGGCGGAACAGAGGGGTCAGCTCCGTCCAGCGAGGGCGGCTGCGCACGACGCCCCTGTCCCCCACCTCCGGGCCCGCTTGGCGGTTTCCGCTACTCAGTGGCCTGGGTGCTGAGGCCAAGACCCGGCCTCGCCTGCGCCTCGGCGGAGGGCGCAGCTGCTGCCCGAACCCCGACTCCTGTGTGAACGCTGCGGCCGGCCGCACGGCCGGCCAGAGGCCAAGTGCGTCCACACAGGCCGGCAGCCAGGGCTCAGCCTCCCCCTCCGGTTGCTGAACCGTAACCGTCCACCCTACAGCCGGGCGAGGCGCGCTGACCGACGAGACACAGGCCAGTCTGCGGGGAAATGGTTTACTAGGGCCGGACGCGCGGGTCAGTAGTAGCCGTAGGGCGGACGCGGGCCGTGGCCGTGGTGACCGTACTGCTGCGGGTAGTGAGGCTCCGGTCTGGGCTGCGGGCTGTGGCCCCAGGGCCGGCCGTGCCACTGACCGGAGCGGTGGTCCCCGGGCCAGCCCCGCCGGCCTTCCCCGCCTCTACACTGCCTGCTGTCCTGCAACCTGCGGCAAGGCGGGGTCCGTCAGGGCCTGCAGACCCGCCGCGTGTCCTCCCCGGCGGTCACCCGCCGCGCTGCCCACCTACCAGCCGCCCCTGCTCCTCTGGCTCCCGCCGGCCTTGCTGCCCCAGTCCTCCAGCACGGGCGGCCGCGAGTCGGCGGCGCGCCGCAGGTGCTGCTGGTACTCCTGGTCGTCCTTCGTGTACCTGCGGGCAAACATCTCTTCGAAGCTGGCGACGGCGTCAGCAGCTTCGGCCATGCCGGGGTCCTGCGGTCTGAGCGGACTCTGTTAGTCTGCAGAGGCGACATCCCTGCGGCTACCGGCCACGGGCGGCGCCGTCCGCGGAGGGCTCGCGGTGCCCGCCGCCCCGCCCTCG